ACTCACCGTTTTTATACTAAATGAAACGATAAGTAATGACTATTTTTTTATAAAAGAAAAAACAGTTGGATTAAATAAATTTAAAAGAGAAATAGTAAGGCGGCAACTGTTCCATTGATCCTAGTTTTTCTTTATTATATTTTATATCTTTTTTAAATCTTTCAAATCTACCATTTTCAACTGATAACATCTTCAAAAACTCATAATCTAAAAATTATTCGAGAAAAATTCGAGCGTGTCTAGTTATGTAAAATAACAGCGGCATATATAATCATTCGTACATGTAAGGTAGAGGAAGAGTCGAGTGTTACAAGTTAAATTATTTCGTAACACCCGTAAATTCTAATCAGTTCGCACACCTAAATATAATCTTNAAATACGAAAAAATTGATTTAAATCTTAAAATTTTGAGATTTGAAAAAAATCTTAAAAATCGAGTAAAATTAAAGATATTTTTACTCGAACAGCGCTTTTATTACTAGCTTAATATAAGGAAATGAGTGCTGAGTATATTAAAAGTTTCCTTTCCTGTTTAGCAATATAATGAAAAGAAGAAAGCAGTTTTACAGGAGTCCTTCCATAAGTATATAGAAACTGTTTGCTCAGATTTCTTGATTAAAAAACTTGGTATCATTCATAAAACTAGATTTTTATATACCAAAATAAATGCTCGTTTAAAATATTATTCACGTCAGTTAATTAATTAATACTTGATAAATTTATTTATTTATTAGTACATGTAAGGTAGAGGAAGAGTCGAGTGTTACAAGTTAAATTATTTCGTAACACCCGTAAATTCTAATCAGTTCGCACACCTAAATATAATCTTTAATTCTTTTTTTGGTAAGACTTTAAATATTTTTTTACAGAATTCTTTAATTTATCTAATTTAAAATCAATCATTTAAATAAAAAATAACAAATTTGTTTTCTCTTAAAGATTACTTTTAAAAAAAATTACTTAATATATATTTGAAATTTGATGTGTTTCGGATATTTTTATGTTAATACTTTCAAAGAGTAAACGTAAATCAAAAGTTTTTCCTGTTATCGTTTGATTGATTACTTTGGACAGTTTTTTAAAAAAGTTGTATTTACCGATGACAAGGTATTTTTTTATATTTTTTTTCGTAAACGTGTATAAGAATATATTGTTAAAAATTGTATGTTTCGACGTTACACAACTTATCAATAAAATCAAGTATTTTGCCGTTGCTGCACGTAGAAAAGGAACAATCACTCATCGGAGAATTGTCTCTTATTTCAAGTTTTTCTCTAAGTTTTTGACTTATTTGGTCGAATCTTATAAGTCGTTGTTAACTTTGAGTTCTAAAAAAAATAATAAAAGTTTTCTCATTATTTCTAACGATTCTAATCACATAGAATTTGTACGAATTATCAATAATATCCAGTTTTACACGTGTAATGTTACTTTATTAATATTTATCTCGTCGAAATGTCTGTTTGATGAGCTAAGAATTTAATTAGCAATGTGAAAAATTTAGTTTATTCTGTGAAGAAATTTGATATTTTCTAAGGAATCTTTCAATAATATTAAAATGAATTTTAAAGATTATGTTTAATAATTATTATATAAGCTAATATAAATTATTGGAAATTTAATATTATTAAATAAATTTCACAAACTTGTTTCAATATAAATAATGCAATAAAATAAATGTTTATAAATAAAAAGTTAAAATAAAATATTCGTTATAATTATATTCATTTATTGAATTTATAATAATTCAAATATACTTTAAAAATAATTTGAAACGAAACAAAAATAATAAATATTTAAATATATTTTTTGCTTAATTTTTCAATAACATTTTAAATTATTTGATACATAATTTTATTATTTAATAAACTAATATTTTATATTAAAATTATTTTCTACAAAAATATAATAGATAATTAATTAATTTTATTAGTAGAAAGTTTTAACATACTTTGTTTAGTTAAATACAAAATATAATATTATTTACTTANTCAACTGTGGATAAAAGTCGCAATCGAATGTTTTGACATCAACGGTAGATTGGTCGGAAAACTTCTGATTAATTTCACCACAGAATATTTCAGAAAATGACAATTACTTAAAAATTTCCTCGAAATTTTGCACGCATTTTAAGCGAAAATAAATTAATAAAAAGGTTGGAAACACGAGGAAATTCAATAATAGTGAATTATTCGTCGCTTACGTCATTGTCGGCTTTTATTAACTCTACAGTAAATTTCCTCATTTGTTACATTAAACAACAGTTTTATGAATTATAAAAGCTTTATTAAGTCATTAAATCTTAGAGTTCGGACATTTCTCTTTGGCAAATTTGGCATTAAAACTCGCTTAAATCATCCAACTTTTGTTTTATACAAAAAATTAAATAGAATAAGATGGAGTCGAATAAAAAGATAATTTTTCGATCAGGAATGACGTCACGGCTGTATATTTTAGATGCGACGGAAGTAAAGACTTACTATGGAGAGTGGCTCCTCCCCTATGGTGCTGGAATGGCCCGTCCCGTCCGTATTAGTCGAGGCAGCAGCTGGTCGGAGGGACAGACAGCGACACCTTGTGGTCGGAGACGTCTCCAGGGAAAAGTTTCTAGGAAAGTAAGTAGGACTGTACTTTACACCTATTTTTTGTCCGTTTAATTCCTCCGACAACTTTCTTTTTATGCAAACGTAATTTGATTAATTTAATAAATTACACGTTCCAATTTTGCACGTATAACTTAAATTAATGTGGAAATGAACTAATTAATTTAACATTTTCTATTTCATTATTAGTAAAATGTATGAGCTTTGTGTAATATTTTATTTTCCTTATTTAAGAAGAAATCTTTATTATTTTTGACAAATTTTTAAATAAAATTTGATAAAGTGCCAAATGTGACTTTCCCCCTTTTTTAAATTTAGTTTTATTTATTTTTTCGACTTTATCAACAGATGAAATTATTTTTTCTCGTGCTAATGAACCCTTTTCATCTGTCAAGTTCACCAGTAAACCAAATGAATGTTGGATTTTCAGATTAATCGCGATAAATTTAATGGTATGAAGAAGCACAAAAGTTAAAATGAGATCGAAAACGTACGAATTTCTAATTTATTTAGCATGCATCATTAAAACTAACGAACTAAAATGTTTTATTGTGTAATTCACCAATTTAAAAAAACCCAATAAAAAATTATAAATATAAATTTTATGTAAATTTTTTATTTTTTTTTAATCGTAAAATCGATTTAGTTCTATAAATCGTCGAGAGATGGCAATACACGCATATATAGTATATATTTCGATTACGAACTGTAAAATTACAATTGGTCAATTAAATCTTCCATTAGTTACCTTCGCAATAACATTAATAAATAATTAACACCGGGATGGCTTAATGGAACCAGGACGTCTTTAACAGTCTCACGACTTCCGGTATACAAATGGAAGGAAAATGTAACCATTCAAATATATATTATCAAAAAGATGGAGAAAAATAATACTTTTAGGTAATTAAAATTATTTTTAAATGGCGCGGAGTGTTTTAATAAAGAGAATTTATATAAAATATTTCATTAAAATTCTAATTAACTCTAACCCAATCATTCAATTTTTGCGGCCTTTTTTTTCAATTAAGACTGTTGTTTGTAACTATTAATACTACCATTTATTTAATTAGCATCGGATTATATACGTATTTATCGTGTTTAAATTAAGTGTGGATCGTAATTAATATATAATTAATTAAGGTATAATTTATTATTTCGGAAGCACTTACAACATTAAGCGTTTTTTAAAAAGTTGTTTCTAATGTTTTAAAAGAATTCAATGGTTACAATAGCCGAAAGGTCATTCTTATATTTTAGAAGGTGCATTAATCTTCTTCGACTCGTTACCTGAGAAACATGCATCTATTCTCATTCGGAAAGTATTTTTAGCAGAATTCTCCCAAACTATACATTTATAATGGTTTGGAAAACCTTCCACTTAAAATAATTGCTGGAATTTTTCAGATCGTAGTTAAAATTTATATATATTTAATTTTATTTATTTTTTAATTATTATTAAAGGCAAGTAGGAATTTAATTATTCGGTTTAATGTTACAAAATCGATTAAAGATTATAATTAGATATTCTATTCCAATTCCTAAAATAGCTTTGCTATTAAAATAGTGGAGAAGAGAGCATTGAGAATTATTTATTTGAAGCATCGACTTTCTTCCAAATATCCATTTACAACTGTCAAAATTTTATGAATGCATCCTCCGTGCTAGGAATTATCAAAATTTTATCGATTCGTGTCAACATTGCTATACAAATCGATCAAAATTACGTTCGAAGACAATCTACTAGTAAATTTATCAAAATTAATAAAGTCATTTTCTCATTGCTCGTCTCTCTAAATATTTTATTTATTCTCCCACGGAAAATGGTCGTGAGTGTGGGTAGAACAGGCCACCGGGTTATCCCACGTTCCTCACCCACCATTAGCTAAAGGTTATCTTCAACTGTGGATAAAAGTCGCAATCGAATGTTTTGACATCAACGGTAGATTGGTCGGAAAACTTCTGATTAATTTCACCACAGAATATTTCAGAAAATGACAATTACTTAAAAATTTCCTCGAAATTTTGCACGCATTTTAAGCGAAAATAAATTAATAAAAAGGTTGGAAACACGAGGAAATTCGATAATAGTGAATTATTCGTCGCTTACGTCATTGTCGGCTTTTATTAACTCTACAGTAAATTTCCTCATTTGTTACATTAAACAACAGTTTTATGAATTATAAAAGCTTTATTAAGTCATTAAATCTTAGAGTTCGGACATTTCTCTTTGGCAAATTTGGCATTAAAACTCGCTTAAATCATCCAACTTTTGTTTTATACAAAAAATTAAATAGAATAAGATGGAGTCGAATAAAAAGATAATTTTTCGATCAGGAATGACGTCACGGCTGTATATTTTAGATGCGACGGAAGTAAAGACTTACTATGGAGAGTGGCTCCTCCCCTATGGTGCTGGAATGGCCCGTCCCGTCCGTATTAGTCGAGGCAGCAGCTGGTCGGAGGGACAGACAGCGACACCTTGTGGTCGGAGACGTCTCCAGGGAAAAGTTTCTAGGAAAGTAAGTAGGACTGTACTTTACACCTATTTTTTGTCCGTTTAATTCCTCCGACAACTTTCTTTTTATGCAAACGTAATTTGATTAATTTAATAAATTACACGTTCCAATTTTGCACGTATAACTTAAATTAATGTGGAATAAGTAAACTTCTTTTTATAATTTTAATTAGTTAACTTAGAAAGGTAATAATTTTCTTCTATCGAGGGATGATTATATTATAGTTTATGTCTTTACCATAACTCCTGTAGTACATTTTCTTTCACATTTTTATTTTCAATTTAAAGTGTCATTAAGAATTCGTTCTATAAAGTTGAATCGAAGCCTCGAAACGCACCGCACTATTTCTAAATTGTTTTTTTTTTATTAATCAGTAACAAAAAGAATATTGATGAGTGAGGAGAAACACGTGATCGCCACACCTCCTTAGTAGAGTACATTTTTTTTTATTTTGTTCAGATCGATGGCGATTATCTGCATAATCGAATCACATCTTATCATCCGAAACTGCCATTTTTTTTTTCTATTTCTTCGAGTAAAAAAGTGAATGCGCACGTGCTTTTTATAAATGCCGAAATTTATATTCTCTCAAAAATTTCTTTAATCGATATTTAAAGAAATTTTACTATTACTTGGAAGATTTTGATGAAAATGAATATTTATTCTTTGAATATAAGGGATGCTTTATCATTTTACGGACTATAAAGGAGAATTTAGGAGAAAATGATTTAATGTAGGACTGTGGAATCCTCTTTGACAATATTAATTTTCGGCTTTCCGGCCTCTGTAAACAACTAAAAGAGCAAATGAGTATTTCAGAATTAATGAAACTGTAGTCGAGGAGAGAACTCCTCATCGATCGATCCCATTCTTTTAAAATTCAAAATTAGAAACAAAGAAGATTTAAACTGTTCGTTAGGTAAGTTGGATCGCTCAGACACAAGCATTGTCGTTCAATCTGCGATTCGGTTTGTTCTTCCTCAGTAACGTAACTGTCATTGGAAACGAGTGGCTTGTCAATTTCGTACAACTGTTAATGACTCCATTAGTTTCTAACACCGACCTGTTAATGGCTCCTTTCTTCAAACCTTCGCAATCTTCGCCTTCAGTATTCACTAACTCCTTCTCTCCAATTATTCTCAGTTTTTTTTTCCTTCTTTTTACGGTTAAACTGCGACTTAATCATTTTTACGAGTTTCTCATATTACTAGATCTATTTTAATGTTCGAGTCGAGGACAAAATGAACTAGACATACGCCATTCGGGAGTATTTTCTATTCCAAGTTATTTTTTTTAATATACATTTTTTACTTAAATAACTAAAGCAAAAAAAAAAACAGTATTACGAATGAAAATTAATCCAGTAAGGATTTCTTGTAACAATAGTCATAAATAGTTGTAGTGTAGAATAAGTATTTATGCACCAGTTATTCTTTTCCCGCTCTGAATAATGATTAGTCGTGCTAGCAATCAAGCGTATTATGCTTCTTGGATAATAGAAACTGTGAATTGTATACGAAGTAATTTTCTCTAGCAAGCTAGCGACAAACATCATTCGAAGCCCTACTCAAACTTAATTACGACAACGTCCATTTGGCATGCAGATATCTGCCGTTTGTTAAAGCATCTGTCGACAAAGACAAGTTTGGAAACATTAAAATTATTTACACTTTAAATGCCTGATAAGGTACAAATCTCGAAGGGAATTTATAATTCGGTGACTGTCTAACGTTCAAAGTAACGTCTTTGACATCGCTAATTTAATTTTTAACATAAAAGATCGACTTTAGCGCACAAGAGTAATTCCGAATTGTTTGGATGCGAGTATTTATTGTTCCGGACACTCTTTTTGATAGGAATTTCCGATCGAAAATATAATTTTGACGAGAATACAATCGACAGATGATAGAGTCCCAGTGGAAGTGAGTCACAATACCAATGTAACCTAACCTGAAAAAATTGAAAGTTTTTTAACTTTTTGTTTGTCTATTTTTTTCCTGTTGAGAACTCCAGTCATCAACTATTCCCTGTAGGTATCATATCTATAAGTATGAAAGAACTGAGGTGCTTCTGGCTCATTGTGTACAAAATTGATAAGGAAAATTGCCCAGAGATGAATCTATCCTTATGCAATAGCCTGCATACAGTGCAGAATATAAATTAGTTACTTTTTTATTGAGCAAATCTGTGAATACTTGCATTTTTCTAATACTACAATTATTGGTTTCATTTTTTCCTTAGAAATGATAAGAATGAAATTAAATTGTAGATTCTTCAACGCTCCAGACAAATGCTTTTCCCCCGGAAGAAAATGAAACGGATTAAGTAATTTTGGTTTATTTCATTTTATTTAATTACTGTCTTCACTGCTATACACGATTGATGTCATTTCTGTTTTATTATATTAAATTTTTCAACAATTTCAATATTAGCGACAGCAATATCAGTGCATTAAAGAAATAAATGGACAAAAGATCGTGTTTAAAGACTTCTTGATATTAATGCCCGCACTTAATCACATAAAAGGTCTTTGACTACATATGGCTAGGGTGGTACTCTTATATTAACAATTCAAGCGAGAAAAAGTGGCAGATGAAACCACGTTAGTAAAATGCAATTCGGCCAACTCTCGGCCATGTCAAATTTCAAAAAATTCTCATCAATTGTTGAAAAATTCGATCGTAGTAGAGAGTCGACTTTCGAAGATTACTTTATATATAAACCTGTTTATAAACCCATTATAAAATATACGTAAAAAATTATAACACTGTTAACCATAATTATTTGATAAGAGACAAAATTGTAATAGTTATGGAGAAAACTTAAAATACTTTTTAAAAAATTGCAAGATCATTTAGATGTTGATTGTTCTTAATAAAACAATTACAACACGGACAAACAATCCCTTTCGGGTTATTTTGTCATCTTAATTGACATCTTTATTATTATGGATTGCTAATTAATCAAATCGTTTCTTCTGTGTGGAGTGAGAATGAAATTATTTTTCGTTGAGAATGATTTGTAGACAGAGACGTTAATTGAATTAATACGAGACTAGAACACCAAGTAATTTCTAAGCATTAATCTGTAATTTTATAGCCATTCGGTACAGAATGTCAAAATAAAATAAACAAACTTTCATTTCTCCATCAAGTAAACTTTTAAGGAATCATTCACCGTTTGAATATCAAAGAAGAATCTTGATTCTAGCGAAATTATACATGTAATAAATTTATTGTCTTTTAATAAACCTGTAAAATTTTCTGCGCCGTGTTTAGTTTAGTTACTAGAAAGAAAAATAATGCATTTTCCATCTGAAATTCTATCAATAGTTCGAAAGGATCTAGACCTGTATAGTTATTTTTTTCTACAATAATAAAAAATTTTTCGAACAAGTACAATTAAAACATTTAAAGAACTAATTAAAATTTAAATTAAAAAAATCAGAAAAAGGCAATTAGCATTTTAATCGATAAGTTGCATCGATAATGTAATCTTTCAAGAAATAATTAAATAATTTTCTATGAAGTAATATTTTTATTATGAAATTAGTCGATTTTTAAATTCAGATTGGAGTAATTTTAAATTGATAAAATAATATTTGAAGATTAATATAATACGGCCGATCGAAGTCTGACAAAATTCAAATAATTTTAGATGAAAGAATATTAAGAATTCTAATATTTAATCAAATTATTATTTACATTTGACAATTTAAGTAAGGGTTGTCGAATCATTATAAGTTTAACAAAGAATGGATAATTTAAGAGTTACGTTATCATTTTACGTAAATTGTAAAATTAAGCGGACAGAATCGAATTACCTAATCTATTTTAAATTATAATTTTTCAATATTTTTGTTTATCAGACTTGACGTCATTTGTGTGTATGTAGCACGTGTTGCTAGGCAATCCGGTTTTAGTGACTTTCGTAATATTGAATTTGCTCTCTTCTTTCTTTGTACAATTACTACATTTCCTTAACATTCCATTAAATAAAGTAACCACGAATTATCGTTTTTCGTAATACATTAATCGATTACTTTCACACGTTTCCTACATATACAGCCCTATAACAAATTAAAGTTATTGAATTTTGTTTTATTTTCATTAAATATGCATTCAATTTAAACGTAAAATTTGAGTTTGTATATATATATATATATCGTTTAATGCATTAATAATAATAATTAAAATAAACTTTGTATTTATTGTGTAGAAATTGGAAAAAATTACTGTTTAAAATAACGTAATCCATACACTTCTATATTTAAATTGATATAATGTATTTTATTATCAAATCTGATTATCTTAAAACACTATTCGAAAGTGAATTGAGTAGTTTCTGCTGTATTATCAGATAATAAACAAGTTTGAAGCTCTGGTAAAATGTTTTCCTTAAGATAAAACCAAGAACAAATTCTTTATGACCAAATTTTCGGAAAATGTCGTTCATTGCCAGTTTCAGATTTAAGAATTTTATGATCCTTCTAGAGAATATTTCTTTTTTATTTTATTTCTTTTGAAAATTTCGAAAATACTTAAGCTTAGGAATCGTTATTTGGACAAACGATCGCAAACAGATTTGTAAGGACAATACTTTAAAATTCAGTCTAAATCTGTTTTCGGAATCGCGGCATCTATAATAATCCTGGAAAATATATATATAAAAAAAATCCCTTTTAGAAAGAAGAAAGTTTTTTCGTCCCACTTCGATTTTGCTGCCTTATCGAATACTTCGTGACCAACAGGACAACACACTATCTATGAGAGTGTTCGAGTGGAATAAAGCAGTACGACGTAAACTTTTTCCTTCTTTAATTATCATTGCAGAAATGTTTGGATAGATTTTTCTTTATCGAATAATTCGGTAAATCAAAATATCGATAAAAATCACACGAATAGTTACTTTAGTTAACTTAAAAAAGAAAAAAAATTCTACAACAGATGACTTAAGAACTTTTCTGTGTTGAAGGTTAGTCACGCTTTTTGCATTCTTGCCCG